CAACGGAAAAAACGACAGGTAAGAGACACAAATACAAAAATGTGTAGGATGAAGCCAGCAAAGAATGAGACAGAAATATACATACTATTTAATACAGCGCCATCTGTGAGATTTTTTAATACTAACGTGTGTATGAAAGCTCTTGTAGTGAATTTTAATTTAGGATTATACGTGAAATTAAAATATCAATTCACAGAGGGCGCTACCTTACAATTATTTACTAATGACAAAATTTTACATATACTTAAGACGTTTAGGATAATTGTATTTTAATTTTGGAAGGTTTCACTTCTACCACGTGTGAATTGCACACATTTTGTTTTTTTTTTGAGTCTCTAACATACGGAAGTTCCAAATTTTTTTAACAAATATTCACATTCCTGGGAAACCCACAGCATGCTCTACTAATAGTACCTACTCAAAATAGTAAATAGGAGGAGAAGTAAATCGCTACCTGCTCTAGGAGGTAGAGTTTGCATAGAGACGCACAGGATTCTCTGATCTGATATTTTGAAATAGCACAGAGAACAAATGATGCAGATATTAGATATTGGCTTGATTAACACATTGTTACGCGCTGGGGTTCGAGATAAATAAAAATTCTACCGGAGTACAACTTAAAACTTTATTAGCACTTAGAACGCTTAAAACACTTCACAAACACTTTAACATTCTTAATTCGCTTCTTCCGCTTCGCTTCAGATGATCCGTTCGCTGTTTCGCTTCGAGTAGTTCCGATCACTAACTGACTGCATGCCATCTCTGCAACGCTTTTGTAGCCGATACCACATCCCTAGAATTATCGAGATAATTCCACACAAGTCGAGTATTGTGTTTCCGCTATCTGACAATAGATGGCGTTGTACCCCTCGAGCGTTCTAGATGTTACTAAATCCTTCGATATTCGTTCGACTATTTGGTGATAGATGGCGTTACTCTTACCGGCGTAACAATATCCTAATATACAATCAATGATAGAGTTAATTTAATTAGGATCAGATACTAATATTATTATACAAACGGGGGAATTAAGTAGAGTTACTAATAGACCCAATGGAAGCGACAGAGTACCCGCATACTTCATTATTATAATTGAACTACGTGTAAGTTCACTTCCTTTTATTTCCGTTCCTGTGTTGCCTCCCTCATTCGCGATGTCCACGAGCGGTGGTAGCCTCTCACCATCAAGTGGCCATGTAATGCCTTCGAAGTCAATAGAATAAGAATATATATTTGAAACACACGAGCATCGGACGGTTCAAGTAAGCTTCTATACTATTTTCTTGGTACATACGGAACTCAAGAATAAACATGTATGTGTATAAGATAAAATAAAAAGAATAAGTCTGGAAGCTAAGATGTAGAATAAATAGACTATATAGACTAGACTCGCATCATTTCAATACTACACTCGACATGCTATAAGCGTCTTCGAAACATGTCAAGTAAAATGTTGAATATTCTTATGTTACTATTTATTTTTGGTAAGAGTTATGGTGTTATTTATAAATTGAATGGTGAGTTGTTTTCCTGCAGAGCCTGCGTGATGCAGGTGCTTGTTATCTGGTAAATCGTTTGGGGTATTTATTAGCTGCCTTCAAAAATTAACTTTTCGGCCAGCAAACAGAAATTTATCTTATTAATTCTTTAGTGCTCATATCTCCGCCTAGATTACAGCAAGACAATCCGGAAATAATACTAATACATTGAAGAGCATTGTTTTTTTGGTTAAATTTTACAATACTTGTAATATATTGTCTTTATATGTATATCATAATTTAATTAGTATCCACGTACAGAACAATATACTCAATTATATTGCTTAGATGGGTGGACGAGCTCACAGCCCACCCGGTGTTAAGTGGTTACTGGAGCCCATAGACATCTACAATTTAAATGCGCCACCCACTTTGAAATATAAGTTCCAAGGTCTCAAGTATAGTTACAACGGCTGCCCCACCCTTCAAACCGAAACGCATTACTGCTTCACGGCAGAAATAGGCGGGGTGGTGGTACCTACCCGTGTGGACTCACAAGAGGTCCTACCACCAGTAAACCATTAGATTGCATTATCAATGAACTCACCCATGATCTTCTTCGCGTCATTTTCGGGGGCTGCTGCTTCTGCTTCCTGCCCTCCCTCCCCTCGAGGTACATGCCCAGCTCGTCCTCCCTCTCGACCATAAGTCTAACTGTAGATTTCCAGCCGTACTCCTCATTACAAATGTCATGCATTGTAAAATCTATAGAGACTCCATGGAGTATAGACTCCATAATAATATATTCTTTGGGAGGCTTAAACGACAAAGGGAAGATTTTCCACCGAGCGGGTGATATTGCTCGGTAGACCGACGGTCCAAATGTTGAAGTTCAGAACTTGTATATCAAGCTTATCTTGAAAATTTCGTAAGCGAGATTGAGGCATCTGTCAATTATATTGCGTTGTATGATGGCTACCGCCACAATTCCATCACAATCGGACCATAGCGCCTGTACTTAAAGTCACTAAATAAGTAATGAATGATGAAGCTATTATGAAAACGTGTCAACAATATTATAGTGTTCAGCTAAAATAGAACGAAGAATGAGTTGTATAGTTTCTTGATGCCGGTCGTTTCCCGTTGACGATGGCTCTGAAGTAGCTCATTTTCGATCTTCCATAGCACGTTGGCGTTCGAACGACAGAGGTGGTACTGGATATGAGGTACCAGGCCAGGGAATATCTTGCTTGTGAAGCGGTTTCCGGTAAGATAATTGCGTTGGCGATTAAGAAGGGGTACTCCATGGGGTACAGTTGTTCCGAACCGATACTGTCAATTCTGGTCCCGGCTTTATGAGTGCGGCCTTCGGCAGTGGCTCACTGGTACTACGGCTCCTCTAATCAATTAAAATATATATCCTATTTACTTGAAAATATTAATAATTAATTCAACTACATCAGCCCTCAACCCTGTGGTGTAATAAGATTAAGATAGTAATAAATAAGTATTTGAATAGTTAAGACGTGTTTCATATTCGCTGCGGCGTCAATCCTTATAGCCTATTGGCACCCGCATTCTCTCCTGATGTCTTGCGCACCATTTATAATACAAGTTAACAGGAATGGTGTTTCGTAATAATTGTTTGCTTTCAGAAACCGATTACCAACGTATGCCAGCGTTATTCAAATTTGACAATTACGAAGAATGCTTGACCAAGCCAGAAGGGATATACTGTACTACCAAATTTGAAATTATAAAGATTACGCCAAACCCCGTTTATGATATGATAGTTGTAAGTAAAATATAACAACATAATTATGACAGACTTAAGACCGTACTAACCTTTTGGTGATTTATCCTACTAATAATAATAATAATATGTAATATCAATGTGAAAGTTTGTAAGAATGGCTGTATGTTTGTTTGTTACTCTTTCACGCAAAAACTATTGGATGGATTAGGGTGAAACCTTACAATAATATAGCTTACAAATCAGAATAACACATAGACTATAGTTTATAATGATATATAACGCTAATTTTCAAGTAAGTAAGAAAAAATCTGCCATTTGCGAGCTAAAATAGCGTACGCTGCAAAAACCGTTGTAGTTACACGCATATAATGTATAATGGAAATGTTTAACTTAAATAGTCCTACAAAAAAGTCCACGACAGCATATGTCAATATTTTATGTATAAACCATTATCACTAAAATAATGAGCCATAAATACAATAAAAATTGATAATTTATTTGTAACGCACATTTGGTAGTAACAAATTGATCCGTATATGAAATACTTTTATCGGATCTGGTATTTTAAAGTAGTTAAACTTTGTATTTTACACTAATTGATTTGGACAAATATTTGAATAGTTATGGAGTTAAGCAACCAGTGCGCGATATCTTTAAAGATGAAGAAATAAATTCAATAAGATCAATAGTTTTAAAATAAATGGCTTTCTCAAGATATTTCACATGAAACTAAATCGTGAGTGTATTTTTCAGGAATTTTCCAAGCACACCGTGAAACATTACAATCATTCTAAGCTTTTCTACGGTGTGTGCTTGTCTGATAATCGTAACCAAACAAATATTTCAAC